CTCAGTACTGCACACGATTTTGTTCATAAGCTGTCATGCTACACACTAGAATGAGGTAAAACTATTTCTACCATCATTTTGATTCCAAAGATTCTGTTCCTGTTGTTAAAAGTCTCCTCCTAAATATCCATTCTCTTAGAAACATAATGCTTTGTCTTAAGCAGCTCTTTCACCCTGTTCCTGATAAATTTGTAGACCACAAGTCTTCAATCTTCATGATTATTTTTGCAATCCATCCCTGAAGCCAGCTGGACTTAACTTATTTTGAGCACAAGGATCAGACAAGCTGATGATTTCAGGAAGTGTGATATATACACTCCCATAGCTGAACAGGATGGCTGATGCATGCTAGGATATCTTTGAGGTTTTTCATAACAAAGGTGGTTGCAAACCACACTGGGGTTATGCCCTAATGGGACACCTAAGACCCTACAAGCTCAAGCAGAAAGTTTTGGTTTATTGTGCTTCCTTACATTTCACCATAGATGGATGATCATCAAGAATGATTCTGCCATCAAAAAGTGCCATCCTCACGCTCCTGTTTTTCATGTCAAGATCATTCATGAAAATATTAAGCCAGTCAGTGGCAAAAGGCATCCCTGAGGATTTTCACAACCAATATTGTTCCTTTTGCTATCTCAGAGTCAATGACAAGAAGCAGTCCTGAACTGACAACAGAATCTGGCTGAAGCAAAGGTCAGTAATCCTGGATGATTTTTCCTAAAACAAGGGAAACTGGCACACACAGGAAAGGATGCTGCCAGCTCAGTTTTTTCCTTCAAGATTGTATTCACATAGCAGGGCGTACAGGGTGGAGGGTGCTATCCACACAACAAAATACATGCCATGCTCTGAGGTAGTAATCAAGTCCAACAAGGCATTAAACTAATCCTACAGAGAGAAAACGGTGCAAGAGCTCGGAGAAATCCTTTAAGACCGACAAATTAGTCTAGAAGCACTTCTGGAGAGAGACCAAAGATTATCTGTTTGAAATTCCATACAAGGCAAGACTGGAAGCATAGCTGGAAGGCAGAGAACATTCCAGCCAACATCTTTCCTCAAAATGCAAACATAGCAGTTGACAGGAACGTGTGGAGTGAAGCATTTGCAATGAGCCAGACTCAGGAGTGAGACAGAATACAGGCCAAGCATGATCTTCTGCTCAGTTAAAACTGCTTTCAAGTGACTTGGAGATCATAAGGATTACACCAGACTAACTAGCTTAGAATCTTACATAAAGTGTAGAAACTTGCCACTAGAGGGTGGGGGAAAAAAACTCTTCCTGTTTTCAAAATCTTACAGCTTTGAATATAATCATACCACTTCTTCAATAGCTTTTCTGCATAATTACTAAAAAAAATCTATGATGGTCTCTTCTCACAGCAAACTTCTTACCTAGAGTTTAATAGGAACAGCAGCGGTTACAAATGAAAATTACTTAATGATATTTATATAGTTTCAAAGAGTATTAAAGGTTCAAATAAAGCATTTATGCAAGAAGGTAAAATTGACTAAAAGCCTTACAAATATCGTAATTCAGCAACATTATTTATCCACCCTGATTACAAGCACAGTATAGTCCATGATTTAACACATGGAAATATGTAATAAACCCAGAGGTTCCTTTTGCACTGACAATGACAAAAATACAGCTTCAAGATGGAACTTACATTCAGGTTTTACTAAGGAGCATTTTATTTTCATAAAGTATTTTTCAGAAACACAAGAATGATAACTTTCAAACATGACGTGTGTATCTGAAAGTGACAAACTCACTTGGAATTATTATGGTGAATGTTGCAAGCCCGAGCCATTAGCACCACAATCATTGGTCGAAAGGCCTTTCCCTTCCCATCAAAGTAATAATCACACATTTCCTTAAGTTCTGCTGCAGAGACCAGCAATTCCTATAAAAAGGACAAGAGCATTTTAGCATAGAAGTCACAAAGTCAGCCCGTTTGGTGTAGGTAAAACAGTATGCATGTATAACTTTATTGTTTGCATTCATTCCACCCAGTGTAAGCTCAAGTTGTTTTTAAAATTACTATGAGTAATCTGAAATGTAAATGATGCATTCCAGCACTGCAAATCAGGAGAAAAAATTGCATTCTGATTCTATAAAGTATGAGAAATGTTCCATTTACCTTCAGTTTAATTTTCAGATAGCTGTTCATAAACATACATGACATTATTTCAATAAATATTCTCCAAACCGATGGCTGCTATTAAAAACAATCATCATGACATTCCAGCATAGCCACCAAAATCCCTTACCTTTTTAATATCTTCATAGAGATTCTTCAAGTCTTTTCTACCAAGTTGAAAAGGGTCTTGGTATTTTTCATCACTAATTGTCTTACTGCAGCTGCACCAGTGGGATATACTTGTATGATGAAACCTGGTGACAGTGTTTTTCAAGAGAGTAGTCTTGTTAGAGGTCAAGTTCCCCTGATTCCCCATACAGAAACATCTGAAAGGATTTCTTTCTCTTCCTCTCCCCTCACACCACATTTAACCAAATGGCTAGAATATATGAAGACACCAAAACACTCTTTTTCAGACAGACAGTAAGGTGCAAGGACAGAAAAGCTGTGTATTGATGATCACAAACCTTTGGAACCTGGCAAAGTGCATTTGGCAAACACACACACGCTGCCCTTAACAGATCCCAGATCTGAGACACAGAACACTACCTTGCTCTTGATCTATTCCTTCTGAATACACTATGGATACTGTAGCCTACATTTGGAGATAATGCCTTCACGTCTGGCAACCCAACTATTCTGTTACTTTCTTCCCTCTCATGTAAGCTCCTGAAAAAATATTCCTGACTTAGATTTGGTATTTTTCCTTTGCATACCCAGCTACATAATTAAATCAATACTTCCAGGTAGCGTGATGACTCCACCTGGATGCATTAAGATGCATTTAGTTTAGGAGATTTGTTTGTTTGTTTCCTGGATTCAAAGTTTCTTTTTCTTCTAATGTTTCCTTTTCCAAAGTGAACATTATGTATTTTCTTGCAACATTCTTGCTTTGCCCATTACTCTCCAGGATAGACGACTGATATTCAGACTGAGCACTACAGCAGCCTACACTGGAGTAAATAATCTTATTTTCAAAGTTTACAGCTCAGAAGTGTAACTACCCAGTTCACCCAATAACTATGTCCTTACCACAACACAACAATGTGAATCTCCAACTTACCGCCAAAATATACTACACATTTTTGCAAATGAGAAAGTTGAACTTCTTTGGGTAATGTGACACATCTGCACAAAATAAAACCAGGGATAGTTTATTAGAACTTTAAACTGACAGAAAACATTTGAGTACAAAAAAAAATGTATCCATCACCATTGGTCTATTTCTCCATTTTAACAACCCAGCAGCAAAAGGAGTCTCATAACCACTTCCACACCACGTAAGATGAGTGCACACTTCATTAGACACACTGAACTGACTCTTCTACTCCGGAGCATTGGACTTTCTCTCCTTGCAGGCCCAGCCCAGGAGGCTTATCAATTAAATTACCAAAGCTGCCCCAATAAAACCTTGCTTTTGCACTTGAGCAAGGTACAATTTTCAAACATTTCCTGCCTGGCAGATAAATCTGGACTGCACCAGTCAAGGCACAGAGAAAAGGATGAGCTGTTTCAGTAAACTAATAGAAAATCATATCCTTGTTTTCCCCTGAAGCAATTTCAATTCAGCCTGCTGTTAATAATTTACACCTGCCCATCTTCCCTGCTAGATGTCCAGAACTTAACTTCCAAATCTAGCAATCTCTCCAATGATCCCTCCCTGCAGACAGAGCCCAGGAGCGTGGGGAAAGGAAGGCACAGTCCCAGGTCCATGATTCCAGCAGACACAGGCTGAGGAAGGAAGCACAGCTTTTACTCTGCTCCTGGGAGTGCTGCCAGGAAGCACCGAGCCCTGCCCAATGCTGGGCTGTGCCAACCTAAAATCACTGCAATCCACGTGTTCACCGAACTGCCTCTGGAAAAACTCACACAGAAACGTTCAAGGAGGCCTGCTGCTCGTGCCTCAGCATCTCCTCATACACGGATTAAAGTAAAGTCTCTCTCTCCTTGGACAGTGGGAGACAAACAAAAGCACTGTAATGGCTCAAGGGCACTCTTCCATCCTCCCTGCTTACACAAGGCCATGCAAGGAGACAAAGGAAGGCGAGGAGCCCAAACTTATCACAGATTTACAATCCACTGCTGTCTGACTTCAGTGTCCAGCCCTACGGCTGAGACATTCCCAAGCCGCTCTCTCGGACCTCTCACCGCGTTCTGTTGCTAAAAATAGCTGATGTCTCCCTGCTCATCCTTCAGCGCGGGCAGCACGGCCTCCCTCCTTCACACACAGCCTGACCCTCTAACAGCGGCTGCTGCGGGATGCTGGACGCGCTCGCCAGAGCACCTTCCCTGTCCCCGGTCAGGACAGCCAGAGCACCTCAGCGAGGCTCACAGCCGCAGCCCGGCCTTGTGAAGAAGCTCCAAACTAAGGCAGTGAGTGAACTGCCCCCATTACCACTCGCAACGCTATCACACAAACGCCTTCAAAATCTCACACTGAGAACCACTTCCCTGCTCCCACCTAGGGCCGGCTCCGAGAGGCTCACACACTGACAGCGCTGAAAAGCCCTAATCCGGAATTTAACCTTGCACCGAGAGCGCTCCTGCCCCCAGCAGGACCCCCCGGCAGGGAGCCGCTCCCGGCCGTAGGCTCGGAGCGCCGAAGGCTCTGCGGCCGCGGGTGCCCGCCCGGCCCGGCGCCGCCGCCCCATTCATTGCGCGCCCGCCCGCGCCGCCGCACTCACCGCCGCGCTGGGGGCCGGCGGGGCGCGGGGGCCGGGGCTCGGCACGGAGCCCAGCGGCGGCGCCCGGCGGCACCAGGCGCCGCTCCGCCACCACCACCGCAAGGCCATGGTGTCCCCCTGCCCCGCCGCGCCGGCACCGCCTCCCGGCACCGCCGCGACCCGGACGCGGAAGCCCCGCGCCGCCGCCGCCGCCCTCCGGCCCGGTGCCGGGCGGGCAACCCAACGCCCTCTTTGAGGGCGGGAGAGCTCCGGGCGGGTTCGTGGGTGGCTCTGAAGCCGAGGTCTGGGGACATGTGGCGGCGCTCCTGGCTGCCCGCCTGCCTGGCCTGGGGCTGTGTGGCCGCGCTGTGCGGTTCCCGCGGGCTCTGCCCGGCCCCGAACGCCTCCAGCCCCGCGCCGGGTCAGTGCCCGCGGCGCCGGGCGGCGGAGCTCTGCGCCTGGGCCCTGTCCTCCGACAGCCTCCTAGGTACGGCCTGCCCTGGCCCGGGGCTCTGTACTGCTGCCCTGTCCCGGGGCTCTGTACTGCTGCCCTGTCCCAGGCTCTGTACTCCTGCCCTGTCCCGGGCTCTGTACGACCGTCCTGTCCTGTCCCGGGGCTCTGTACTGCTGTCCTGGCCCGGGGCTCTGTATTCCTGCCCTGGCCCGGGGCTCTGTATTCCTGTCCTGTGCCGGGGCTCTGTATTCCTGTCCTGTCCCAGGCTCTGTATTCCTGCCCTGTCCCAGGCTCTATATTCCTGTCCTGTGCCGGGGCTCTGTATTCCTGCCCTGTCCCAGGCTCTGTATTCCTGTCCTGTCCCGGGGCTCTGTACTCCTGCCCTGTTCCCAGGGCTCTGTACTCCTGTCCCGGGGCTCTGTACTCCTGTCCTGTCCCAGGCTCTGTATTCCTGTCCTGTCCCAGGCTCTGTATTCCTGCCCTGTTCCCAGGGCTCTGTACTCCTGTCCTGTCCCAGGCTCTGTATTCCTGCCCTGTTCCCAGGGCTCTGTATTCCTGTCCTGTCCCAGGCTCTGTACTGCTGTCCTGTCCCGGGGCTTCTGCTTGTTGGGTTGTGACAGCTCCTAAAGCAGTAACTAAGCAAAGACCTGGTACACACTGTCAAATATAGCTTTAAAATTAAAACTAGATTGGTCAAAATGGGCGGTTTTTTTTTGGTGTGTTTTTTTTTTTTTTTCCCCGAGTCCCAGTGTTAGTGCAGAGTTGATAACCTGACTCGTCTCTGGAAGTACACAAAGCATTCTATCTCTCCTAGCTCTCGGGTATACAAAACTGCTTGTAATGATAGTGCTAATTGATATGATAACATTACAGAACTAATTTCATCAGGTGAATACAATTACTTGTGAGCATTAAGAAATCATACTGATAAATCTTGTGGCAGCTGGCTAGAACAGGATCTGCCGTTAGAGGTAGTGAGAAACATGGCTAGCAGCAAGGCTTCAGAGATGCTAACTTAAAATATTTACAAAACAGTGACTATCAGGTACTGGAATTTTATAATTAATGTGGAATTGTAAGATTCTTGTAAGCAAAAGTCCATTAAGATGGTAAAACACCATTTTAAAACAATATTTGTCCTCTGTTACCATGGAAAAGGGCACAGAGTAGGTCTGAAGGAAGAATGAAGCACAACTTCTGAGTACACATGTATGCTACAGCAAGAGCTACATATTCTAACCCATTCATTCACTGTTTACATTACTCAGAAAAGACTTCATCTGTTTTCTTGGGTTGTGTGGTGATCATTGCTGCACATGGACTGTACACAGCAGTTACTGGTGCACAGTGACTTAAATTTGTTGCACTACATTGTTCAGCTGTGGGAAAAGCTGAACTTCTCTGTCTCCTGCAGATATCTTTTAGGGTGTATATAATTGAGTGCAACATCAAACTGCCCTGAGACTGTTCCAGTCACAGTCTATTCAATCTATTGTTAGATATGATTTAGATTTTAAAACTACAATGCCGTGGTAGATTCTTTAACTGCAGAATTTAGTAATTTTCAGAAATTCCAAACAACAAAATACTAAATTTATTTGGGCTTGCTTTTCATGGAGGCTTAATATACATTGGTAAAGTTGTAATACTACAAGTTTTAATTGTTTTTAAAGCATTTTGGCTGGATTTAGGAGGAAACATATTATGACTAATATGATTAATTGTTTTTTATATGGCATATCTTGTCTGTTTCATGTTTACAGATCCTTTTCCAGTTGACGTGATCCAAGAAAATTATGTCCGTAATGTGAGAAACTGCATTTTTTCAGTTGTCTATCCTACACCTTTTAAATCGAGAGTTCGTCTTGTAGCTGTTTCAAAGGTTGGCTATTGTTTTTTTTATTCCTCTCTAATTAGTAGAAATTATTAATACATGTACTAAAGTATATTTAATATTCATATGCTATTTATCGTGAAACATCTTCTCAATAAATACTTTAAACAAACAGAGCATTTAAAACATATTGTGAGATGTCTTTTAATGATGGAATCTGTAGAGAAAACATGTTTATTACCACTGAAAATTTGATCATGTTGAAGTATTACTTTTTTCTCCAGGAAGTTCTTGAAAATATTTTGGATCTTGATATATCTGTCAAAGGATCATCTGATTTTCTGGAGTTCGTCAGTGGTGGGAAAGTGATATTTGGGTCTGTTCCACTGGCCCATAGGTATGGGGGTCACCAGGTAAGTACAGCATTCATTCTTCCAGGTGGAATTGTGTAGGTCTTTCCTTGTGAATTACACCTTGATCATACCTGTAAGTACATGAGTATATGTCTGTGAGTGCATGAATGCTTACTAACAGTTTGTTTGCAGACTTGTTCTTCATAACAGGCTGCAGGTGGAAAAGAAATATAATATCCTTCCACAGTACCCTGTTTACTTGCTCTGCTTTTGTTTATGCCTGAAGCAAATTATGTTTTTAACTTTCATTAGCTTCTGAGTCTGCTTAGCACCCAGCAGCCTGGCCAATTATTAGTATCTAATACTAATAGCTCAGAGGAGTGGAGGAGGACAGAGCCTCACTGCAACACCATGATTACTAAGGTTCAAGTTTCATTGAAATGGGTATGATTATTCATGGAGAAGAATGCTAGAATTTTATTTGTAATTTCCAATTAAAAAACCAAAACAAGCCACGTGGTTTTAAAGGCTCATTATACAAAAAAGACAGGTCTGTAGCTGTATGTCATAGCTGGAAGGTAAAAAAAAAAAAAAAAAAAAAAAAAAAAAAAAAAGAGGATTACTGGGATTACTGGTGTTACTCTTTTCCTTTGGAGTGAATGTGGAAATACAGCTTTAGGGTTCAACATTTTAATGTGAGCAAATGTGTCTTTTGTGAGGACCTAGATTTAATCTGTGTTTCAAGTATAACTTCTATAAATGATCGAGGACAATAACTTGATTTTAATTTTTGTCAGTTTGGTAGCTGGGCAGGTCAGCTGGGGGATGGAAGAGCCCATTTGATCGGAGTATATACAAACAGGTGTGACTTTTTTTTAATTCTGGTTGAACTCTGTGTTCAGTTTAGCTGATTCATGGTTAACCTGAGGTCTGTCATTACAAATGCCAATGGTATTTTTGCAGGCATGGTGAGAGGTGGGAACTGCAGTTAAAAGGGTCAGGAAAGACCCCATACTCCAGGTAAGTTGCAGTTACCTATGTACTCTAAACCAGAATGTTTTCTTTTTGAAATTTGCTTTGATTTTATGACCAATTCCTTATTTCTCTGTTCTCCATAGGAATGGTGATGGGAGAGCTGTGTTACGCTCTTCTGTTCAAGAGTTTTTATGTAGTGAGGCCATGCACTATCTTGGAATTCCTACAAGCAGAGCTGCTAGGTATTTTTCTTTCCTTTGTTCACAGTATACTTATTTACAGGTAATTTTGTGACTGAGTTTCATTGAACGTCAATAAAGTAGGGCAGTTAGTTTCCAAGATGAAAGATCTCTTCATATATATGCAATCAGAACAAAATATATTCTCCACAGATTTTGGATAAAACTTTCCAATAATAATAAACTCCAGAAGTTAATTGCATCTCATAGTTTGCTGGATTCTAGAAATACAACTCAACTTCAGTGTAGTAAAGACTCATTTCTGTAAAGTTAATTCAAATTCTAGAATCTAGACAACTAGGAAAATGTCAAAAGTGGCTATTTTTTTACTGTAACTTTTAAGATTGGTGTGAAAAATTGTCATTCATATGAACAAACACTAATATTGGAGGTAGAACTGAATGTAGGCAATTACTCTCAATTCTTTATCTATGAAAGCACCTCTTGAGCAGAGAGAGAGAGTTCATGAAAAGAATTGAAACTTAATTCTGTGTGAATCAAAGGAGACTAACACAATCATTCATTTGGATGATTTTCTCAGAATCAAGTAATTGAATATTTTCAGATGATTGTATATAAAATGCCAAGTTCATTTTGTGTTCCAAGTAGTCTCAAGTCTGTACTGCAGTGTTTCAGGCTTTAAAGAAAGCAAATGTTCTGCAGAAAAGGCCTGTACTCAGCTGCCACATGGCTAGGTGTCTGTATTTGCAAAGTGTCTGCAAATCTCTTCAGCATTAGTTCTAACTCATTTGCTCTGTTGAAGTGCAGTGTTTGTAAATGACATTTTTGATGGTTTATTCACTGACTTCATCTTGAGACTCTTTGCTGTTGGCTGTTAATGCAGAACTTTAAATCTGTCTGAATATCAGCAGGAAATAATTTGGCAGGTTAGAGCCTCTCTTTGCCGTCGTCTCAACAAATTGTTCAGTGCAAAACAGTATGAAATTACCCCTTTACTGTGCATGAAATTCTACTGAGCACACAGTGTGCTTCAGCTCTCTGCTGGCAGATTGGTTAAATGCCTGGCTCTCTTAACTGTTGTACAAGCTCTGCAGACTGTTTGCAAGACTTAATTTGGAAAAACCCCAGCTGACAGCCATATTCTTCCCGATGGGGAGCTGTTGCACTGAGGCTGGTGGGATGCACTTAACAGAGGTCTTGTCAAGTCTTGTCAGAAGTGGGAGGAAAAACCGTATGGCTTATCCCAGAACACCCAGCAGGTTGGTTTGCTCTATTAATTTTAAGTATTGTGTTCCCAATGGGGTGCTACAGTTTATGACTGTACTGCCAGATACAGAACATTTCATACAGTACCATTTTAGTCACATACTGAGACTACCAGTGAGCAGCGTTACACATGAAGTCAAAAGAGTGAGCCAACATGCATAGATTTCTGAGTGGCTTTACTTGCATAGGGTTTGATGTTCATGCAGAACAGCAGGCAGAGCACTGGAAGTGTAAAGTCAAGCCCTTAAGTGAGAGCCAGTTAGGGAGGGATATCATCCATCCATCCATCCATCCATCCATCCATCCATCCATCCATCCATCCATCCATCCATCCATCCATCCATCCATCCATCCATCCATCCATCCATCCTTCTGTGAGTGCTGTTCCAGCTTCTGTGGTGTGGGTGCAATTTCAGTGCTCTGTTTCCTATATTCTGTGTACAGCTGGTCTGCTGCTGCCTTTTCTCCAGTAATGGCACTTACCAACTGCCAGGACCATTGGAGAACTACTTTTCTAGTGGGAATGTGTGTTTATGTGGCTGCTCAGCTACCTGGCCAGCTCTCAAATGTTGCACGTCCATACTAACTAAATGTCAATGCCTCCGTGGATTTTTTTATCCACAATAGAAGTGCTGGTATTCTGTAGGAATTTGGCAGAGAGCCTGCTAAGAGTTATGCAGTAAAAAGGAAACACCCTTTCTTGCAGAGGTCTGTAGAAAAGTAAAGCAGTTGCACAACTTTCGTGCCTTCTGTCCCTAGTGTTCTGCAGTACACACTATTTATAGGTGTCTGAGGTTCCTTCTCTGTTTCTAATTTTTTTTTTTTTGTTTTCTCTTGAAGGATTAAGATTTTCTTCTTCCATCTAATTTACATCAGAGCTTTTTGTACGTAATCCTACAGACATACCAACTGGTTTCAAATGAGTATTTAAAAAACAAAACCCATCCTAATTCTACTTCTATCAGTACAGCTCCAATAAAAGCAGATTGATTTCTGTATATTTTTCCTCTCTTGAAATAATTCACTGCCTGTTCTTTGCAGTTAATAGAACATTCAGTTTGAACAGCTACTAGGTATTTTCAAAAATACTGAACACAATAACAATAATTTAGTTTCAAAACCACAGTTACTGTTGCAAGCAACTGCACTAGGTAAGACTTCATGCTATTTCTTTTCATGACCTTTTTGTACATATCTATGTTTATATGGATTTCTCACATTTTTGGTTCAACTGAATTCTTTCTAAAATTTCAATGCTCAAGTATGTAAAACCAGAATCTAGTGTATTTCCAAAATTAAACTCTTGAGAATTAACACTGTGACTGTCTTCAGTCATATTTATGTATGGAACCATAGGTTTGTCTCTTGTTCTTTGCTATCTCAAAGAAAAGTTTGGTTCTGTCTTCTCTGCTGTTTTCAACCACCTAGTAGCAGATATAAATAACTGCATTAAATATCAAATAGCATGCCACCCAACTATATTTTGAATCATGGAATTGTAATTTGGGTTGGAAGAGACTTTTACTGGTCTAGTCCAATTCCCCCCTCAATGAGCAGGGACATCTTCTCTAGATCAGGTTGTTCAAAGCCCCCTCCAACCTGACCTGAATATTTCCATGGATGGGGCATTTGCTGCCTTTCTGGGCCTACCTGTTCAGTGTCTCACCACCCTCTGAGTAAAAAACTTCTTCCTAATACCTGATCTAAACCTGCCCTCTTTCCATTTACAGCCATTCCTCCTTGTCCTATTGCTAGAGGCCCTGGTAAAGGGTACCTGTCCAGCTCTCTCGTAGACTCCTTTGGGGACTGGAAGGTGCTGTAAGGTCTCCCCTTATTCCCCACGAACAGCCCCACCTCTCAGTCATAGGAGAGGTGCTCCAGCTCTCTGGTCATTTCTGGACCCATTCCAAAGGTCCATGTCTCTCCTGAGTAGAATATTTTCCAGTTATCAACAAGCAAAGATAAAGAAGAATTACACAAAATTAGCTAAATTAGCCTCCTGCTGGAGTCTTGAATAAGGAATCTTCTGTGTCTATTAAGGGGATAAGATCTCTTTCAGAAGATGGCACCAAGCTGGATTGTCAGTGTAATCCCCGTTGTTTTGAAGAGAAAACTTCCTACTTGTTAACCTTAGAGGAACATGGTGCCCTTGTTTGTGAGGATTGTAAGTTTGTGAGGATTGATTTTTCCTGATAGAACGAAAAATACAAGGAAATTACATATTTTATTTAAACAAATTAATGCAAGTTATAAAATATTTTAAAGCAAGTTGTACTGATCTCTCACAAACCTCAATATGTGGATAAATATGAAAATTTATAGGATGTATAGAATTTTAAGGCAAATGAAAGGAAGAGATTGGTTTTAAAAATCCAAGTACCAGTAGCAGTGATTGCTAAGGACCACAGAGCTGTCCCTGAAGTTTCTGACATAATTTTGGCTCATGTAAAGGGAGGCCTGCATCTGATGCAACAATTTGGTTTCTAATTTCTCTCTCCTCAAAATTTCCATGTTGTCCCCAGGGAAACTGGGACTTAGTTGGTGTTACATTCACACTAATCTGTCACTGAGATTCCAAGTGAATGCACTACTCTTTTTGAGAGTAGACATCTCCCCAAGAACAGTGAGGATAATAAAATTGGACAACACTATATTAAATACAAAATAAATGCATCTTGGCCATGAACCTTGTTAAGCCTCAGCATTTTCTTTGCCTGTGTCATTTGTAAATACAAAGCTATGCCACCAAAACAATCTTTCTTCTTATGAAGAAGATGAATTTATATAAAATATCACTTTGATCTACATTATGAATTACTTTTGCTGAGGTAACTTTTAACATTAATTTCTTGTTTGCTACAGCTTAGTTGTAAGTGATGATGATGTGTGGAGAGACCAGTTTTACAATGGAAATATTAAGAAAGAAAGAGGTAATTAACATATTTTTAAATGTTACAACAATGTAACTTAATTCACCATGAAAAAATGTGTAATAAAAAGTAATAAATTGGCTTAATTTAATTTATTAAGATATGAAACCTCTCCTGAGAAAATCAATCTGAAACACATCTTGGTTGAAGAAATGAAGCCCTCTGAACAGGTCTTCTATGATTGTAGCATACATATTGAACGAATATGATTTTGATTTTCATTTCCCATTACAAAAATGCTATTGAAAACTAGGGAAGTTTTACATTGTTTTGACATCAATACCAGGGTGGGTAGAATGCAACTGTGGCCATGTCATTGTGACATCATCTACACCTGCTCTGAAAAAGAGAGATGGCACAGAATGGTGAAAAATCTGTTTGTGCTCTTTCTTTGAGGCTGGCATTTCTGGAGTGATTCTAATATTAATGCACTAACAGAATTTTGCCTGTGGTTGCTGGCATAGCAAATCAAACTTTATCATTATGTAGTGTAGTAAAATATGTGTAGTAAAATAATGTTATACATATTCATCTCTTATGTGTTAGGCATACTTACAAAAATACCATATTAACTGTGCCTATACAACTCTGTGTCTATAGAAACAACACATGGTGGTTTTTCCTATGGAACTGTTTTATTTTGCTGGTGCTCTGTTTACATTTAAACACACTTCTCTGTATATTTAAGGTGCAATAGTGCTACGACTTGCCAAATCGTGGTTTCGTATAGGATCCTTGGAAATCTTAGCTCACTCTGGGGAACTGGACTTACTAAGGTTTGAATTGCATCTTCACAGTAACTGAAACAGTTTTCTCAACCATCAAATTACATTAGAATTCATGTATACAGTTGGAATTTAGACATAAATTATTTAACAAGTGAGATTACATAATTTAGAAAGGTAGCCTGCTATTTTTATACAAGCTTACCAAAGATCTTACCTCACAAGGGTAAAGCCCTTGAGATGTTTCTAAAGGCCTAGATCTTACAAAATGAGGAGAATTTTATACCTAAGTAGTTCTGGTAACTAAGCACTAGGGAGGAGTTGTTTGTTTTGGAAAGATTTGTAAATTGAAAGTCTAAGTTCCTACATTTCTCAGTTTTCTGTGACAGGTCCTGCAAATTGTAATGCATGTATCCCATTTCCCTAAGCCTGTCTTGTAGGAATGTGGATAACTGTTTTAGGAATGGCCAGTTACTGTAGAAGTAACCCTACTCCATAAGAATTCAGCTATAACATTTTCTTTGTGAGAATTCTGATGTAGAGTGGTTATTCCTTGTAATCTTATACTGTTTTTTTGGAAATGCAAACTCTTTTTTTTCCATAAAACATGGCTATTGCTGCATGCAATTGCTACCATGTCCTAGTATGCTCTGGAGATTTAATGTGGGGATAATTTTAACTCTTTGTGGCAGTCTCCAGTCATATTTATGACTACAACCCTAGGTTTTATCTCTAAGCATTTTGGAAGATCTTACTCTAATATTCATTGGAATAAATTTATGAGTTTTTTAATAACTATTTGTGGCAAGCTGTAGATCAGCATTTTTCTGTTTGAAAACAAGAATTTTTAATTATCAGTTCCAAAGTACCAGTTTAAAGAATTCTGTTTCTGCTGTTACAGAAAATTGCTAGACTTTATCATCCAGGAACATTTTCCATCAATAGCTATGAATGATTCAAATAGATACCTGGTAAGTCTTTCTTGAGAGTAATTTTTATTTTCCAGAAGTATGTGAACAAAAATTACAGGAAGGTCTTCACAATTTCAAGTTTTACAATATTTAAAAATTTGAAGTAAGATTCCAGGTTTCATTAGCGAAAGTTTGTTAATTCTCTGCAGTAAAAATCTGCTTCTTGATTTTTTTTTTTGTCTTCTCAGAGTCAAATATGAACATTTTTTACCAGTTTCCATTTTGGAAGTGTTTATCATGAAGCTTCCATTTTCTGTTGTATTTTGTTCTTTTACTGCTCAGGTTGTCAGTGAACAGTGGTCATGTTGTGATGAAGTGTGCTTTTGCTAATGTAAATGTAGTATATATAGTATATTCTAGTATACTGCCTAGTATGTATAGTGCCTTTGTTTTTTTTTTTTTTTTTGTTGGTTTTTTTTTTTTAATTTTACTTCTTAATTTCTTTAAGGGCATCTGTGTATACTTATTTAACAACAGTCTTTGCTGGATAAGGTTACTATGCATTCACATAATTTAGAATGGGAATGACAATGCTGACAGACACATACCTAAATTGGAAAAATAGAATGCATTACATATTTCTATAGTGAATAAAATGCTTATGTATTTCAATACTTTTTATAGAGAGAACTTGAAGTAAAAGGTGTATTTGATTTTAGGAATTTTTCTCTACTGTCGTGTCAGAGACTGCAAATCTCCTTTCCTTGTGGATGTCTGTGGGGTTTGCACATGGTAAGGTGCCAGATGGCACTGGCTTTAGGGGAGGGACACTTTACAGTAATGTACTTAAAAATGGCTTTTATTTTTCACCTTGATGTTTTGTTCTGCTGATGTCTTCACCTACAGCTTTATGTGTTATACAAGGGGCTTTTGTAACAGAGTTATGCTCTCTGATCTCTCAGAGCACCACTGCAACAGGATGAGAATAGGGCAGCAAGAGTTCTCAGAGCTGCTGCAGCAGTGCAGTGTACAAAGACAGGGTACTGATGCCATATGTAAGTTTAACTGTTCTGAATTTGATCCATCCACATAAAGCCCTGGCCTGTTACAGTGCACAGGACACGGAGCTGTCTGGCTCTGCTGCAGATTTGTGGGATTAACCCCAAAACAGCACTGGGAGCCTGGGTGTGCTGCGGGGCATGGGCTCGGGGCAGAGAGATGGGTGTGTTTTCCAAAGTCTGATTCCTGAGAGCTCTTTAAATTCAGTGGACCTGTTTCACAGCAAATTGCCTGGAGCCTGGGGTTCAGGTGGAATTTTAACTTTTGTTTCTCCTTTCTCTTTAACTGTAGGTGTGTGCAATACAGATAACTTCAGTTTATTGTCCATAACAATAGATTATGGTCCATTTGGATTTATGGACTCCTATGACCCAAGTGAGTGTAGCATCTGGTTGTTTTTTTTTTTTACTTAAAATAATATTTTTCTATTAAATTATATAGTTTCCATTGCATGAAAACTCCTTTCATTATTAGCAGAAAAACCCTAAGCATGTGTACTGTTTGAAGAGCTTTAGGGAAAAAAAATTGCATTAGTGATGAGTTTTATGATACACTATATAGATTGCATTCAAGGACTAAAAGTCTTGTTAGTGAAATATTACTATTAAACCCATTTCCATGAGAATGTTTCCACTTGAACACCATCAATTCAATAGATACTACAACAGAAGCCTAGAAAATTAAAAATTGTATATTGTGGGAAGCAGCCAAAAGCAGAAGTGGAATAGAGTAACTTTGAATGCATGAAAGCTCCAGTTTTATAGTCATAGCAGCTAATTATATGTTGGAAGAGAAGAAATCAAACCTACACAGTCACGGTAACTTTTCTTTGAAAATCTTAACTCAGTCTGGGGTTGATAGATAGAGGTTCAGTATGTACATAAATGTGTATTCTTAGACTATTGTTTATAGTTTGCAACTAAATAAACTTCAGAATCAGCAGAGGTTATCATGCTATGTGTTTTCATACCTGCAGCATCAAATTAAGGAAAACTCATGAGAATAAATGTCATATTGCTTCTATTGTATTGAACAAAATGGGGCTTTTTTGCTCTTAGATTTTTCTTTATAGGGTGGGTTGACCCCAGCTGGCAATTAAGGATCCAGAAGCCATTTGTTCACTCTTCCCTGCTGTGGGCTGAGGGGCATAATTGGAAAAGCAAGGTTAAGGAAAAACTTATGGGTCACGATAAAGACATTTGTGTAAGTCAAGGGGAAAAAAAATGGCAGCGGTGACCAGCAAGTGATGCAAAGATAATCACTCACCATATGTCACCACCAGACTGATGCCGAGTCAGTCCCTAACCAAGAACTGCCTTGGAAAAACTACCCCCACCCCAGATTTTATTGCTGATCATGATGTTGTAGGTGTGGAATATCCCAGCTGAGCTCAGCTGTCTCAGCTGCATCCCCTCCTAGCCCACCCCAGCCTCATTTTCTGGGGTTACAGAATGAGAATTGAGCCCTTGATGCTGGGCCAGCCCTGCTGAACAATGTGTAGAACTGTTGCTGTGCTGTCAGCACAGTTTTGGTCACAAGGCCAACACACGGTGCCAGACAGGCTGCTGTGAAGAGAGCTGAGTCTGTCCCAGCCAGGCAGTGCACGCTAGAGCCAGATGAGAGGTGTTAGAGAAGAAATTCGGACTGGAACCACTCACCAGATCTGACAGATGAGTTAAGAGTCTCCTCCTTAAAGCTCCATTTGCTGTCAGTGTCCTCTGAGGGCCGGGGTGATGTTGTGTGCATGGATCAGCTTATCTGGGTTTGATCTGAGTGAGGGGTTCCCACTGATCCCCTCAGAGACTGCTGCTGTAGATAGGCATACATTTTACTTCTGTATACTTGTAACTTGCTGGACAGGTATTTGGTATCTCCCAGATAATGGATTTGAATACTGGAACACGTTAGGCCTAATTTTTATGTGAAGCTTGCTTGTCCAATTGAAACAAATCTTGTTTAATTGGCCTATTGAATACATGTTTGCTGTACATGTAAATACATGTTTACTATATGTGTGACTTTCCCATAAATACATAAACCCTGATTCTAGTTGGACATTTGTTTGCTTAATCTATGTGCTAAATAGTAGCACTAGATGTAGTAAAAATACTGGGTTTAAGTGTAAAAGACTGTTTTTAATGTTTTTTTTTCTCTGTAACCAACTGAATTTACCTTGTATCATCAGGTAGGAAAATGTCACTTGTAACTCATGGGAACTTGTGTGTGAAGATGTATTCCTTAGATTTTGCAAATAATAGATCTTGAGTTAACTCACTTTAAATAAGTATTCTTGTGATCTGATTTTAAATATTTAGTAGTTTTAGGTTTATAGGTCTATAAGTTTGCTGTGTAAGTATAAAAATGAATGTATTTCAATATTTTAACATTGATTGTTTATTTTAATTACTCTGTTATGGGAAAGTAATGTTTTGTTTGAAACAGATTTTGTTCCAAACACATCTGATGATGAAAGGAGGTATAAAATAGGAAATCAGGCAAGTGTTGGGCTGTTTAATCTCAGCAAGCTGTTACAAGCTCTAAACCCTTTATTGGATCCCAGGCAAAAGCAGCTGTAAGTAATCCTTAAAATATCATAATGCTAAAAGGAGCTAGTGAGATGGGAGACACTGTAATCACCATATGCTTAGGAAAGAAAGGGATTAGCTTTTAAAATATTGCATTTTTTTTAACTGGAAATTGATTCTGGATTAATTATTGGCCAGAATAAGACTGGAGGGTGGGGAGAAAATTTTTTGTTGGTCAGAAATAGTATTAAAATAGGACCACAGGGAGGTATTAGATGTTGTGTGATCCTTTCTCCTTTCACTAAGGTAGGACCTTTGCCTGTAGTTTTCTGTTCTAAGATTGCCTAGCTTGTTTTGTAAGGCACTTATTTAGGAAGACCATGCATCCTCCTGAAGTAATAAAGTAGTATTTTAATAGGCTCTTGTAAAGATTCTTATATGGAGAATAGATCCCAGATGATTCAGAATATCAATGTTTCTGAGAGAGCAGGCAGAAGTTTTCGTTGTTTAGTGTACAGCAGTATTATACTTGCAACAGCATTTTAGTTCCTTATAACTTGACATTTCTTCTGTTTTGCAGAGCTTCCCAAATTTTGGAGGGGTATGGTGAGCACTATCACAGTCGGTATGCACTTTCAGAACTGAAACCTTCTAGTCACAATACTATAAAATATGTAATGTTCACAACTTCCATACTTTCTTATTATTTTCAGTTTCACAGAACTATTCAAAACAAAATTGGGTCTTCTTGGGGAGAATGAGAATGATAACTATTTGATTGCTTTCCTCTTAAAAGTGAGTTTACTTTGCTAATTTTCTTGGCAGACATCTGTACTGGTACCCCACACTTAAAAGCACTCAAAGAAGTATCTTTATTCACTAGATTATGGAAGATACAAAGGCTGATTTTACAATGACATTCCGAGAGCTGAGTGAAATTACTGCAGACCAGTTAAAGGAGCTCCATATTCCTGAGGTATAAATACAAGCACCCAATCCTATGAATACTTAATATAAAAAGAGTAAATCAAGTTGGACATAACTCTGATATAGTAGAGGCTATCTTAAGCTATGATTCATCTGGGAAATATGTTCTTGTGTCATTATTAAGGGACAGAGGGACTAATACATCTGTTTCAGGCTACCACCCCTTCTTAAGCTTGTATCTGGTAATGATGGATATATTAATGAAAAATGCTAATGAAAGGTGCCTTCATGAAAAATGCTGAAGTCAGATTTTCAGCCTTTGGTACAGGTCCAATAGGAGTAGTCATAAATACTCATACACAACTAGGAATGTGATTTTTGTCACATTTAACATGGGTCTGCTACAAAGAATTTTCTTCCCCTTCATCTCCCCATTGTTTTGTTTAAGAATAACTTTTGTCCAACAAGTGAAGTTGCACAGGGCTCATGAGGAAAATTTCAGCCTCAGGTCAAGCAGGCTGTTCCTGATATGGGCTTACCAGGTGACCTAAACCTCTGCTGTCAGGCATATTTGCTTATTTTGGTATCTAATGATAAGTGAGATTCCATCTCAACATAAACTCCTGCTTGAACTCTTTGCCCAGAGTGGCCTCTGCTCTTCCTTGAGCAAGAGATTGATTTTAAATGAAACTTAGTGAAACTTAAAAATACATTTTGCTATTGTGTCCTGCTCAGCCTGCTGTCTCATCCTGTGCTGCTGCTGACTTAGCCTAAACTTACTCTTCAGGACCAAGTATAACCATATATAAAACACATGAAAGTATTTCATTTTTTTACCTGGATGTAGTGCAATCTTTGAAAGTGGAAATATAGCTGAAATATTTGAACTGGACTGAGATGCTAGGCAAGTCATAATTGAATAAAACAGCAAAAGGGAAATTCTGAAAAGGAAGCTTGTAATCTGGTTCTGAAAAGGAACCTAATCTGGAAAAAAAATCGCCTTTTTGTGAGAGCCAAAATTATTTTTTTCCTTTTATTCTTGAGTATAGTGTCTTTTCCATGGGATGAATATTGTTCATTTTGCCTGGGAAACTTCATTGCCTTCCCCAAACACCTGATTTATGTCTGTTTTTGAAGCCAATTTAAAATGAGAGCAGGTGGACTTAGGAGGGTGTGTTGAGTCAGCAGGATGACAATGTAAAGCACAGAATGAAAATGAGGAGTTGATGGTTCTTTTTCCATGTATAATTAAGTGGTTTTGAGCAAATTTTCTGGTTTTCCTTGTTTTCTTCTGTTAAGCAAGAGGTCATTTTTTATGACCTTTTCTATGAACTTGAAGCCAATAAGTGTTTAAAAGTTTAGATGGTCTAGAGGTGAGCAACAAAAAAAACCCAGGAGTTGTGGCCTTGGAATTTATTGTTTGCACAGGAGGGTGATAAGAGGATGGGTGTATTTGTAAGAGAAGGTATTCTTGTCATAGAACCCAAGGGATTTTTCCATTTATGTCAACTCCATCTTCCCATCTTTGAAGGTGTTGGCTGAGGAACCAGCAACTGTGGTGTAGTTGTGATCCTGCTGCTACACTAAGGGTCATTTCCAGCCTTCACTTGGTAGCAACCTGATCTTTTTTTTCCCACATAATGCAATTATTGAGCCCACAAATTCTGAGTTCCAAAACTGATGTGGAAAAACAAGTACAATTTTATGCTGGTAAAAAGTTTTCAATGTTTTAAAGAATTTCAATTTTAAAGTAATTTCACTTCTGTTTATTTACACACCAATACTTTTATTGATTTGTACATAATTTTTTCAGCTGCATACCAAAATTGACTTAAAAATGCCAGAATCCTTTGGGAACAATGCAGGAGTCCTTAAATTTAGTATTAACTGAAAACATGCTGAAATTCTTCCTAAAGCAGCTTAACTCTACACATCTTTGAACAAATGCATGATTCTCATACTCACCTGTTATCCACCTCCCTGATTCCCAACTCTTAGTAATTTCTGTGCTCATTTTTAAGACCAAATATAGTTTTCATATCTTTTTTACTCTTATTCCTCAAAGAAAAAAAAAAAACCACAACAACAACAACAAAAAAAAAGCCACCAAAAAACCCAGATGGGATCAGAACACTTTCTTCTTGCTTTAATTTCCCTTACCTTTTATCTATGTCCATTTCCTCCTAATCTGTTCTTTCTCTGTTCATTTTTTTGTCTGTGAGCATTGGCTGCTTTCAGCTGAGGAATATGAAGCAGCTGTTAGCTCGGTGTATTCAGCCAGGGAAGCCTGGTTTGTGTTTGCTGTCCGCTGTCCATCACTGGAGGCAGTAACCCCAAACTCTGATTTCTTGCTGTCAGCATTTTCCAAGTTCTGTCTCCTCTCCTGCTGTCTCTATTCTCCTCAGTTTTCTGCTGTCCCTGTAGACTTTAGCTTCCCTTTCCTTCACCTTTTCTTTATTTATATATTTTGCTTATTGTACCATTTTTGATTAAAAAAACCTATCTGAATATATTTGATCCATGTACAAGTCTCAGTAGAGAGTGAAACCTGTAATTATGTAGCTTAAAAATCATATAGGTCAGACAATAAGCCAAGGAAAAACAGGGGTGAAGTGCTAGAGGTGTTTAGGTAAAATTTTTGAAAACAGAGACGGATTCATGTGGCTGTATCATGCTAGCAAAAATAAATAATTTGAATACAGAGGAAAAGATACCAGCAGAATGTTTACGGAGAAAATTCTTTGGAGGGTTATCATACATTTGCCTTTTAAATTTTTTATTGTTCATTGTTTTGGTTTCATCTGGGATAGAGTTAATTTTCTTCCTAGTAGCTGGTACAGTGCCATGTTTTGGATTTAGGTTGTCAATAATGCTGAAAAGACACTGAAGGTTTAGTTGTTGCTGAGCAGGGCTTACACTAAGTCAAGGACTTTTCAGCTTCTCGTGGTGCCCTGCCAGCAAGGAGGCTGGGGGTAGACAAGAAGCTGGGAGGGGACAGAGCCAGGACAGCTGACCCAAAGTGGCCAAAGGGATATCCCAGAGCACTTGGTGCCATGCTCAGCAAATAAACTAGGGGAGAGCTCGGAGGGGATAATACCCTGCTTGGGAACTGCCTGGGCATAGTTTAGTGAGCAATTGGGGTTTTATTTCTCTCTCCTTTTGATATTTTCCTTTTCACTGCTATTATTATTGTAATTATTAAATTATTTCAATTATTAAACTGATCCTAACCCACGAGTTTTCTTACTTTTTACCTTACTTTAAACCCCAGTTGAGGAGGAGCATGGGCAAGTGCTTATGTGAGGCTTAGTTGCCAGCTGGGGTTAAAACACAGTATTTGTTGCTTACTTTGGTTTTTGCTTAACAGGAAAATAATTCTGATTATCTGTCAATAAATATTTCTTTCTCTTTAGGAATTCTGGGCTCTCCAGGATCTGGGTAAACACAAATTATTTTCAGAATGGGTTACTATGTACCTCCTTAGATTAAACAGGTAAATCTGATTGCAGTTTAAAGTGTGCATTTGCCAGAACCAGGAAACTTTAGTCTGCAGTGATTTTGCATAGTCTTTATTGGGTCTAATAAACTGGCCCAAACATGGTTTCCGATGCCTTTTTTGTTTTCTTGGTTCTTCATTGTGCTGGATTCAACAATAATTGCTGTTGTAGTTCTGTTTTGACACTCAGGTATACAAAAATGACATGGTAGGAGTAATTTCTATTCTTCATCGTTCATTGAGCATCTGATCCATTTTCTTTGGTTAATAGTTTTTCTTAAAATACCAATCCTACAGATTCAGTCCAAGAATCACAAACAGGCTTTGCAAGTATATAGGAATGAATAGTGTTTGAATACTGGTTTTATTTATTTATTTATTTGTTTGTTTGTTTTTTATTTATTATTATATAATAACATTGCTTTATGGTGTCCAGGGATGGAAGCTGAACAGCTGCAAATTCACAGACTGTGTTTGGAAACCATTGTGTTGCATAGATAGGAATTCACAGGATTCTTTTGTGTTAAATCAATAAAAAATATAACATTTTTTTCTTAGTTATATATGGTATGCATGGCTAATAGTACTGAAAATAAATACATATCAGATACTTGGAAATTTTATTCAGTAAATAAAATTCCTAAGGGAAAAAAACAATAGAAGGCACAAAACCTACAAGAAAATGTGCAGTTTTTTCCAAGTCTAATCATTCGTAGAGATTCACACCAGCTTCTGCCAAACACAAAAGCAGAGCACCTAATGATTTTAATGGAAGTCATATAAGATATTTCTAAAAATAAATCAGCTTAATGCTCACTAGCTAAAGTGCTTTCTGTTTTTCTTCTTCTTGTTTGTTTTTCATGTGTAGTTACAACGATGACTCAGATGCCAAAAGAAGAATAAGAATGGCAAGTGAGTAAAACAATCCAAAGGAATCATATGCTTGCAGATGGCAAATATCTATTTACATACCTTTCTTTAGTGTTAGATATTTTTCTTTTTGGGTAGAACTAAAATACAGTATTTTTCTGAAGAGGAGAAGCTCTCATTATGCTGCTGCAAATCTTGTCACACTATACATTCATTCAGTCTGTCTCTGCCCTTTGTACATTCTACAAAGAATTAATATTTCTGATAGAGACACACTTTTTCTTTCTGTTATCCAGAGGAAAAACTTGTGAAAGGACTATCTGGTCATAGAAAGCAAAGGAAGGTGCTTTGATTCTCCAAGTTTTTCTAAATACAAAATGGCAAAGGTACTGCTGTTAGGTATCACAGCAGAAACAGTGGATATGAAACTCCAATAATTGTTCAGCAGGAGATATTTTTGCTCTGCAGTAAGCTGTGGTAAATTTGTGAAATTTGCTTATAAGAAAAAATGAGCAACTGAAAATCAATGACCAAAAGGGAATAAAGATCTAATCAAACTCTGCACATGAGGCTTCACTGTTACACTGCCTTACAGGGTGCTTGCTGCAAAGCAGGATGGAAATGGCTGCACCGTTCTGTAAGATATTGATTGGCCACTTTCTTCTAAAGCTCCAATCGATTTGCTAGGAAAATGGCAGGAGCTGGCACTGACTTTCAGTAATGAGGTAGTAAAACTACAGAGGGCACAGTTTATGGTTCCAGGTTTGCATCGCCATTTTTTAACAAAGGCTCTATCCTTTTTAAAGAACACTTCTTAAAATTCTATATGCATTTTAGAAAGTTAATATGAAAAGAGCTACCAAGAAGAAATATTTGTTTTTTGATAGGGTTAAGAAACTTCATCTGTGAGTTTCTGAGGCACTTGGCTCAATTATTGTTTTTAAGTTTCAAGCTCCTGTTTCCCTCAGCTAAAATTGAATGCTGAAAACTGTCTAAACACAGTTCTTATGCTTCTGTATCTTTTAAATCTGCTTTTAGAGAAAATCCTGACATCCTGGGGTTTTATTCCAAATCAGAAAATATCCTAATTTCTCAATGGTTTTCTGCAAACCATCATTATTTTTTTCTTGATGCACCTCAGAGGACCTCATAGTACAGGAGACAGATGAAACATGGAAAAGGTTTTGCCTCCAAAATCACACTTGTGCTAGTGGTCTTAATTTTGGTAGCAGTCAAAGCTTGATCTGCAAAGGTTCACGGTTCAGTTCGTTTTCTTCCATATAATCAACCATCACTCTCTAATTATACTGCAGAGCTGCAAAAATTTATAATAGGCTACTGATGTTAGTTTGTTCTTGTTTTATTTAAAATCAACAACCTTTGTTGGACCTTTGCTAGCTGCTCCATATTACAGGATGACTGAATTTTCTTACAGAGATTTTGGAATTTCTTTTGTTCTTTTTTGTATTTTTATGTCCCTGGATTTAAATAGATTGCTTAGATGCCCCTGTGGTCTCTTTAAAAATTATTTCAGTTTTTGTTTTGTTTTTTTGTTTGAGCATTTGCTTGTAACAGTTGCCCTTGTCAGCACAACTTCAGAAGAAATCTGGTTCAATTCAGTCAACTCTTCATTTTTACCCAGCATTTCATGTTGAAGACAAATCTGTCCTGGCTCCTCAGATTCCCAGCTGGGTTTGGAAGTTCCACTAAATTGTGCATTGCTGTCTTTGACTGACCTTGAATATATTGGCATTAACACCTCATTATTCATCACCCTTCCCTAATTGTTAGTAAGTGTCATAAAAAAATCTCATTTCTCAAAGTATGTTAACTTGAATCGTTTGAAGTCATCACTTATTCATTATTTTTATTTTTTTCTCCCTTTATTGAATTTTCAGTTCTTAGTAGTGTTTTATCTTGCACTACCAAAACTTAGTTCTTCTGGAGTTGATCAAAAAGTTTTGACAGACCAAGTCTAAAATTGTATTTCTTTACAAAAGCAGCATGTAAAAAAAGTCAACCAGATCATGCTTATAAGGGCACAAAAATTCTTTTGCTTTGTCCTTTTCTTACCTGGCTTGTGTTACTCTTTCATAATTATCTTGTCACTTGTGTTAAATGCTGATATTTTTAAAACCACTGTGAAACTTGTCAAATTGCAATTGTTAAGAATTTATTTCTGGGACAAATATTCTCCTGCTAAAATGACTCACAGCTCTAACGTGAATTACCATTTTTTGAATGAGTCATATGTTAACTTTTTCACCTTTTGAAATGTTTTTTAAATAGTTATCACACTTTACTATTGATAACTCATTTACTGGATTAAATCAAATACTTGGCCAGAGCAAATTGTTTTGCCAAGTGGAAATGCACTGGTTTTTAGCAGTTAAGGCAGAGTGTTGTTAAGCCTGTGTTGAGGTTATCAGGATTCCCAGTAGACAGTTGTATTTATTGGCTTTTTTAATACATGTAAGTACATACTGGACAGTGGGGATGTGAAAAAGAAGAATGTCTGTGGCCCCTTCTAATACATTATTTGTAAATAAAATAACTTAATAATTAATTGATTAAAGGAATTGAGTAGAGGGAAGTTTGAGATGGTAATTTTGATGATTCCTCTGGTTTTTTCAATACCCTCTTTCATATATGCTGTAAGGGTGTTTATAAGAATATTTTATAAAGGTCTAAGGATTTTTAAAAAGAAATATATAAACCTAACATTTATTAATATAAAACCTTCTGGGACATCAGTGGAAAGGGAAGGAGATTAAGTTTGTGTATGTCCATAAATCACAGACTTTTGGTTTCAAGTGCATGAGTGAAACACCTTTGGTACCACTTAATACCTTAATGTAATAAATGCTTCCTGAATTGGGGAAAACAGACCAATGGCAAATTAAAACTTCAAAGCAGGCTTGAAGTGTTACAGTCATTCTGTAACATTGTTTTGATCATTAGGGAAAACTTACTGAAGTAGAATTCTATGCCTTTAATTGCAGAACAAAACGAAGAATTTAATTTACATAATCTGCTAAAAAATTGATAATTAGAGCCATGTGTGCTGATATGAATTGTCCCTGGTATACAGTTTGACAAAACTCCTTTTTTAAGTTGATAGTGGCTCTGCTGTAGGATATATACTGGCTTACTAATTCAGCAGTTTTCATTTTCCAGTGTTGCTACATTCTCTCTTCTGCTCATTAGATAAAAGCAACCTGAAAGAAGGCAGGGAAGCAGTGCAGTTGTCATGAATGTTCCCAAAAGGATACAACAGACAGCTGCAGAAAAAACTGAGGAACCTCTGCCTACCCCCAGCCAGGAGATTAAATTTTAAAAAGCAGTTTCTAAAAAATACACCTGAAATATAACATTAAAGGCTTTTATGGCTAAACTTTTGTTACATGACATAGAAGGAGTATCTATATACATATACTTTAAAGGATATAATAGTAATTACTTTTTAAATTAAATAATACAATATTCATTTTTGTGATCTCGAGTAAGGTATTGACAACATTGAAATGTTTTCCATCAACACAGCAGGAATCTAGGCCATGGTAAACTCATTGCACTTGAAAAGCCTGCTGGTGTTCCTGACAGGAAATCCTTCCTCTATCAATGTCATGTTCTGTGCTACTCTAATTTCTGTTTGGCACTTTGGCACTACTGATAGTGCAAGTTTAAAAAATCCTTTAGCAACTCATAGAATTAAGTAGATTGATTAATTCCTTTTCCTTTTTATGCATTTTTTTCTTGATCTGCAAATTTAAATCTTCTTGAAGATTTCAGTGACATGTTTCAGTGACTGTTTTCCTTTTGTTGAATACGTATAACTAAATTTAACATTATTTGCTCTTGGTTTCAGCTGTTAATCCTAGATACATACTTAGGAATTGGATGGCAGAATCAGCAGTGCAAAAAGCTAATTTGAATGATTTCTCGGAGGTAAAATGAGCTTTCTTTTTCTTGACAGATTTAATAATAACTGGCATAACAGCTAATAAAACAATTTTTACATTTACACTTGAATTGTATTACAGTTTGACCAAAATTGTACTATATAACATGAACTGCTATTTAAAATACTAACAAAATTATTAATAGTACTAATTATAACATAAATAGTAGTGGCTGTATTAATAGTAGTATTAATAATAGTAAGCAATTCATGTGATAGTTTCTGGAGCCAGGAGAGTGCATAAAGTGGAAAAAACTTTGTTTACCAGAAAACATTTGGTATAAAAGCTTACCCACTTTTAATTGCTTCCAGGTTGAGCTCCTAGAGCAGGTTTTACAGCACCCCTTTCAGAGGCAGGAGGCTGCAGAGAGAGCAGGGTACTCCCTGCGCCCCCCAGCCTGGGCCAGGCATCTCAGAGTCAGCTGCTCATCCTGAGGGAAATTCAAACAAGCAAGAAGAATGATCGAGGTCAAAGTTCAAGCCTTCAAATTGGGCTGATGGATCAAACCACAGGAACTTCTCTCCCTTAGACTTTGTGGACTGGAATCTGCTACTGTTCTTGACCAATTTATGAAGTCTCAAGATTAAAGAAGTACATCACTAGGTATGGGTTCATCAGCAGATTATACTGGCATTGACAACTCTGCCTCACATTCAGCTGTGCGTTACTTTGAGACCCAATATTTAAGTTCTGCCAAACTGTAACATCTAACCTCTCAAAATTCATGGCTGATCAGGTGGGTTTTAATAGCTTTTAGTGACTGATCAATTTAAAATCCATGTAAGCTAGTTAAATAGTTAGCAAAGATATCTGTCTTGGGAGAGACAAAAGATGTCTGTCTTACTCCAGGGTAAGTTTTGGTGTCTTTGCTGGTGTCAGGTACCTATCCAGAGGACCACTGCTCCTTCAAAGTATCTTTTGGTAGGAGTAGAAAGATTATTGGTTCATAGATGTGAAGTCTCAGGAAAAATTAACTGTTTGGCCCTGGAAAAGGACGGCGTTGGAAGCATCTCAGCTGAAACTGCTTCCATTTCAGGTATGGAGGAAGGTTGAAAAGGACATGCTGCAATTTCAGGTATTTTCATGCTAAAATACTGTAAGGTCTAGTGATGTATAGACCATTTAGAAGGCAATAGTTTGGTAGAGGTAGAAGGATTAATTTCTTTTTACAAATGCTTTGAATTACTGCATTGGAACATCTTTTTGTATTTTACAGCATATTTTGGTACCAGATCAAGCCAGATAATTGTGTATCAACAAGAGACAGCTTTGTTCTTTGAATGGAGTTTAAATGTTACATTTTAAAAATTCCATGTGACCATGTACCTACGCAAAATAGTTGATAGAGGTCTAATCATCACAGCATTTTACTTGATTTGTGGAGTTTTCTGTAGGCTTTGATTTTCTTTGTTTTGAAGAAAGTTCAAATTCTTTTGTGTAAGATCAAGTGCATGAATTATTATTGACTGCAGATGTAAAATGTATTAAAATTGATTTTTTTTTTGTGTTGTAACAAAAGAGAAGGGAGGAAATAGGGTGGGAGGCTGAGCATTCTGGTGAGAAGAGTGAATGCTAAAAAAGCCATTCTAAAAGTCTCAGTGTTTTGTGACCTTGCTGTGCAACATTTTTCCAAGGACATGTTCTGCTTTATTTTGATGCTGGATGTATATTTCATAAAATTAATTTGATTTAAAAATAGTTGATTTGCAGACAGCTGTTGACACCTAAGTATGACAAATATGTGCACTCCTAATACCTAGTCAGAAAATGACACCTAGCTCTTCAATGATTCTGCAGAATGCTTCCTTCAGTTATATATGGAAAGGGATTGGGAAACAGTAATCCTTCCCTCATTTAAATTTTTTTTTAGCTCCTATTTTTAACCCTCTTACTTTTAGGTTGTTGGTATTTTTCCCCCTCCTCTTTGAACTGAAGCTTGCACTGGTCTTAAGGCATTTCTCAGTTTGGCAGTTTGAAGGTGCTTAGATACCTTTTGAATGTCCCAGCATGTCAGTTCAAGACTTCCAGGTGACACTTTTGTTAGTGGTGGGCATAGTTCTCTTGGTGAGAGCTTTTTGCTCAGTTCAGCTGAAAGCAAGAGAGCTCAAAAACCAGTAAGAGCCGGATGGATTCTCTCTGTGTCAGCTTAACATGGTTTTTAAAGCAAAATCATTTCAGGAAGAAATGCATGGGGTTCCAAACACTGTTTTTAGCTTTATATAAAATAAAACAAAATAAAATTATTTTTTTAAAGTAGTAATTTCAAAGGGAAAGACATTTATGAAGACATGGTTACAGCTTTATTTGTGCTAAGCCTGTAATGCAGGTATGTAAGTATTGACAAACTACCCTTAAGCCACGAATAAGACTAGAGATGACCCAAAACACAGACTGTGGCACTGCCACCAGCTTGTCATTCTCTTGCCCCCACCACCAGGAATTCTGACAAACACAGCAGGCTCACCCCCTGCTCTGTCAGCTGCTTTCATGCATCTATTTTAGACCACACCCTTCACTTTTTGTGCTTTTTTATAATTTAAAATACAGAGATATACTGCTGATGGTATCTTAGAAGGTCAAGACCAGTGTTGCTGTGCGAGACCGGCTTTGGGCGGGCGCCTGCGGGAGCACGGCGGGAGGAGGGGAGAGGCGGGGCCGCTTTTCCCCTTCGGCTCTGCGAGGCTCAGTTCTAGCGCGGGAACAGACGAAATGGCAGCACGGGACTCGGGTGCAGACACGTGTTCATTGTGGGAGCGTGTTCCCGAGACACTGGGGCACTGACCCGAGGGTCGGTTATACCCCGTGCCAGGGGCAGGGGGGGAACCTGAGCCACGGCCAATGGGAACAGGGCGGGAAGCAGGGGCAGGGAAATCCCGGAGACCCCGGGGAGGCAGGAGCGGCAATGGGAAAGGCGGGGTGGGGCAGGGACCGGACTGCGTGGTGAGGGGTAGTGATAAGGGAACGCAGGGTCGGGACAAGGGACCGCGGGGGGAGGGGGAATGCGTGGGGGGAAGAAGAGAAAATTACAAACCCCGTGGACCAGAATAAATAAAAACCAAGTCTAGGAGGTATGGGGAAAAATTCTTTAAAATAGTTGAAGTTCCAATTGCCAGTAAAATGGCTGTTCATTAACTGTGACACTTTGTGCAGATATAAAATAGAAGCTATTTTTATTTTTGTTATATTTTTATTTAAGAGCTAACAATGAATGCTTCCTAAATTAATAGAGGAGAATTAAATGGGAAGAACAAATGAAAAAAAATGTAGGAGGAGACATTCCTATCAGATACAAGATAATTACAAAATCTTTAATGAGACATCATTTCTAGGTACAGTTTGAAGACAAATGTTAACCAAGAGAAAAAAAATTCCTGCTTACCATGGAAGCATATATGATTTCAAAATAAATTTTTTTTCTTTGTCTAAGGTAACCAATTAAATGAGATTTCAAAGCTTCAGCTGTGAATGGTGACAGGTACAACTGAGTTGCATATAGAAACAGGAGTTTATAACATTTGGGGTGACACTGTCTGAAAATGGTCCTGGCCCTAACTTGCATCTCACAATAATCTAGCTGAGATTTTAATTTTTAAGGCAGACTATTTAAAATAAAATTAAAATCATCTTTGTATTGGAAGAAAACCCCCCATAGTTAAAAGTTTTCTGATAAAGAATTTTTAAGGGCAATTCTGTAAAAAAGGATCTTCCTTCCCACTTCTCAAAATTTGTATGAGGACATTGTATTTTTTCTTTAACTCCAATTCACTAAAAGCAGCCAGATTAGATGCATTTCACCTTCTGAAATGGCTTGCTCCAGAGTGCTGCTCCACCAACTCAGGCTGTTCTTGTGGAGGCAAGCAAGACTCTACAGCTAATTCTTACCTTTGTGCTGGAATGGGAGTTAAGAGCAGGGGATGGTGGGGTGCAGGGGCAAAGGAGCAGGTTGCAGGGACAAACTGGGGGACAAAGGGTGCCCCACATTCTTGAGACCCACCAAGAGGAACTCTGAAAGGAGAATGCCTCCTGGAGAAGCCTGATCCAGCATGACCTTCTGTGATGCTTCACAAAGCCAGCTATGTCTTAAAGTCTACCCACTCCCAGAGTTCAGGAGGTGTTACCCCTTTTCTTCTCAAGAGCTTTCATTAGGTCAGACATGAAATCTGCTTGCTTGCTTCCCCCTGCAATCAGAGGTAGCCCCGCTGACTGTGGCTCTCCACCTTGGCCTGTGTTTTCCAGCCTTTTTGGAGGAAGTGGCACAGGTTTCTTCACTGGAGGGGGTGGCGGCTGACTGGAGACAGGTGGAGGTGGAGGGGGTAATGGCACATCTCCATTACTGCTGCTGGAGACCGGTGGTGGTGGAGGCACAAAATCAGGAGGTGGTTCACAGAAATCGGGTGGGGGTGGTGGAGGAAAATCAATCTTCAGTGAAGGTGGTGGTGCTGGAAAGTTCTCTGGATCTGTCAGGAAAATGCCACTGTCTCGCTTCACTTTGGAGGGTAGAACTGGTGAAGCAGAAATAACAGATGAACGCCTTTCAGGTGGTGGAGGAGGCTGCAGTGAGGTCCTCTTACTCTGGACTTTCTGTGGCTTCAGCAATGGTTGTGCCAGGCCAGGTGCACTGGCATTATTTCTTGCAGCCTTTAATAAGAAAAAAAATAAAAGGACAGATACAGTCAGTAAAAGTGTAAACTAAAGCCACTGCCTAAGAACATAAGAAGATGTGAAAATACATGAGTGTAGTAGACAGGGAAATCAGGTAGAGTATATTTCACCTGAAACATGAAAAGAGTATTTTGTTTTCTTTCTGGAGCTACCCATAGAGGTTTCACAGTGGAAACCTCTCTGTTGACAGGTTTCATAGTTCTTCTTTGAATGTTGTCCACAGAAGATGAGTGCTTTTAAAATTTTTAATAATTGCAGTTAGTAAGACTAACATCAAGGAAGTATCTTTGGGATTCATTGTCCTTGAGCCTGGAAGAAATGATCCTTGAACACTGACCACCTCTCTTGGACCCCTCTTCCCTTCAGGGTCTTCTCCCATGGGATTCTTCCAGGAAGTTCCCGAAAGATGCTAAAATTAGCTCTCCTGGAGTCCCTGTTTGAAATCTTGCTCTCTGTCCTGTTACCTTTTCCTTCAATACTGAACTCTACAGTCTTGTGGTCACTGCAGCCACGCTGCCCCAACCATCACATGTCCAACAAGGCCTTCCCTGTTCGTTAGTATAGGGTCGGGCAGCCCAGCATTCCTTGTGGGATCCTTCACTACCTGTGGCAGAAGTTGTCATCAGTGCTTTCCAGAAACCTCCTGCACTGCTTGTGCTTTGCTGTTTTGCTTCTCCAGCAGATGTCAGAGTAGTTAAAGCTCCCCAAGAACCAGGGCCTGTGACTGTGGGGCTACTCCCAGCTGCCTGTAGAAGCCTCATCCATTCCCTGCTTCTGATCAGGTGGCCTGTAGCAAACACCCACAGTGGTGTCACCCTTACTAGTCCGTCCTTTTATCCTCACCAGGGCAGAGCTCGGCACTCTCCAAGTGTTGCCTCACATCGAGGGCAACTCCACCACTGCACCTTCCTGGTCTGTCTCTCCTAAACAGCCCATGGCCCTTCATGACAACATTCCAGTCACAGGAGCTATCCCACCATGTCCATAATTGCAATGAGATGGAAGCCCAGTGGCTGCATGGAGATCTCTAGTTCCTCCTGTTTGCTGCTTCTAGAGAAAAGTGCTCTGCATCCCTGCAGCAGCATTAATTCTACCATGAGCTAATTATAACATGTACGCCTCTTCTTCCTCACTCCTTGCCTATAAACATAGAAGTAAATGAGACACAGGAGGAGGGAACCAGTGGCTGAGTTCTCAGAATGTGATCTGGTCCAGAGGAAGTAAGGTTCAGAAGAGAGAAACAGGAGGAACTCAAAGACAGAAACAAGAAGTGTAGAACACATAATGCTGGTGACAGGAAAATCCTAGTAATTTAATTTCATTTGTCCTGTGCACTTCATACATGATGAAGAGATTGAATGGTGAACTGCAAACAAATGCATACCTTTTTTTCTGTATGATGTTCTTGAGGTTCTCTTACTGTATGCTTTGATACTTTTATAGCAAGATTTGGTGCAAATATATGAAATTTGGAGCTTAACAAGAAATGCATTTAAAGCCTAATGAAAACATGTACGGTTTTCCCTTAGTTCTTCACAGTTTCTCCTTTTTTACACACTCATCTTCAGCTGTGCAGTGTTCCCTACTGAAAACACTACTCTATGTCTTGTGTTTCTAAGGCAGAAACACAATTTTTTTGGCAGCGACAGAACATGGTACCAAGGTTCTGGCAGCACGCTTTGAGACTATCCCAGCAGGAACATTCCTATTCCTGCTACATGAACTCGTGGCTGCTAGTTCTGAAGAACTGAAGCAGTGGGTGGCTGTGCCTTCACCTCCCATCGGAGGCTCCTGGTTCTGCACAGCACACACACTGTTTGCCGTGTGCAAAGCATGAGGAGGGGCAGCCGCCTTTCTAGGAGCCAAATCTTCATTGCCACTTTGAGAGGAAAGACAGTAGGTGAAAGAAAAATTTGGAAAACTTGTTCATAGATGACATTCAGCTGTAGTAACTGCTCACTTGTGCCTCAGATGTATCCACTTTCTTCTGAGAGTCTGGAAGTTCTGTACTGGAATGATGAATACTTTGGGGAATCTGTCCATTTGACTGAACAGTACCTGTGACAAAGAGAGGAACCAGAGGGAAGAGATTGTTATGTTTTTGTGATATTAACCAGATCAGGGAATACCCAACTAAGAAATAAAAATTTCTTTACAACTTCCACAAGGAAACACTTATTAAAGGGTTTTTATAAGTAACTCAGTAAAATCTGTTTTCTACTTCAAGCTCATTTTGTGACTTTTCATATTCAGTTCATTACTTAAGGAAAATAAACAAAGTATCTTACATTAAAATACCTGTGTTTCCCAACAGCATTTTGAAGTTTGCAGTGTGATGCACTATTACTATATTCCCAGTTTTTATGCTTTTTTTTCTTAGTTTAATTTAGGCTAAAAACTAAAAGCACCATAGTTTCATATCAATCAGTCATTGGAGTGGAAAGTCTGAAATCCTACAGAGGGGCTGATCCACTTTCTTTAGTAAACGAGCTAAAACATGTCCCCAGCTCTGAAATATCTGCCCCATTTGGAATCACAAAGATCTGTGAATTTCACTGTATTCTCAGATTAGTGCAGA